CAATTACGGATTGTTTTAATTGACGATCCACTTATTGTTTGCCTTACGACTCTTTTGCTGCTCTTTCCTTTTGTGTTTTATGGTTGTAATCTGTTTATTTGTCTTTGTTGTTTGTGTGACTGTACTATTGTGATGCATTGGCTTCCTGAATAATGACTGAGTTTATGCCTATCATTGTTTTCCTGAAATATTGAGGCTTGGCTTGCGCTTCATAACCGCAAGGAAAAGGAGCAATATAAATACCCAGTACCAGTACCACTCAGTCGACCACCAAAAATCAGTGGACGGCGTAGCGTCGTGAGGTTTTCACAGAAAGCGTCCGATTTGCCCGCGACCGTCGAACGACGCAGTGTGTGCCCGGCTTACGCAAGTTTGCATTGCGGAATATGACAACGTTCAACTAGACATTATCTCCTTCCATTAGCCAATGCGAAAAAAGTCCATGTCTCTTTTCAATCAGTTATGAAATACGGTGTACGGTAAGAATTGCCCCGGAAAAAATGGCCCCGGTCAAAATGGCCCCAAATGACAAGTAGGTAAATTGGCCCCAATAATAAAATTCTGTATTAAAAATGATATTTTAAGAATCATTATAAGCATTTTTGAAACTGAAATAATTTAGTTTTTAAAAAAGGAATTTAACATCATATAAATTGCCATTTACTTTTTGCAGGAATTACATATTCAATGCTAAAATATTCAAAAATAAAAAAAGCCATGAAAAACACTTTTTATTTTTTTTTTCATTTAAATGTTAAAAAATAGCAACAACATAATCAATAAATCAACAAAAAATCATGCATTTATTAATACTAAAATATTTTATTTGTGGCCAATTTCACGGAAGCGGAATCACAATTTTACAGAAATTCAATTGGTAAACCCTACAAACAATGAGTTAATATAATATGAACATCAAATTATTATTATTTTTTTTTTTTAGAAAAAGAGAGTTCTACAATCATACTTAAAGGGTTTGGATGGGGTTCGCAGTGTGTTTGGAGGTTTGTGGTGTATTTGCAAGTATTTTTTCACAAAAAAAAATCAACATTTTAACCAAAAAATAGGTTCTTATGAATATTTTCTTATTGATATACCAAGTGAGTCATTCAAAGTTGAATTGTTTTGTTCTCTATAGTGTGTTCTGGGAGGTTTGTGGGATTTAGAAATACCATTTAATCCTACCATAATTACCCTACCCCCACAATTACACGCCATTTTAATTCTTAGCATAATTGCCATATATACATATGTATTATAGTATCTCAGTTTACATTATTTAGTATAATTTTAGGCACTTAAATTTAGTTGGGGAGTAAAAACCAAGTATGCAATTAAATAAATTGTTTAAATAAATGTAGGCCTATTCTTAATTATTCAGTTTACTTTAAAAACAATATTATTTGATTAACAAATAAAGTAACTCTAAGCAGAACAATTATTGCTAAGTTTGTGAGAAAGTAAGCCTCTCCCTTTTCCCATACATGAACTTGTGATTCAAACACACAATTAATCCACATGCTTTAAATACTGTTTATTTGCACAGTTTATAACATGTAAAGTTATTTAATTTGATACTTAACAAAAGTGAATTTTGTGGTTATCTATGAGTTGCATATTTTGGTAGTTGAAGTATTGTATGTATGTCATTCCTCAACTTTGTTAGTGGAATAACGATTTTAAAACTTATTTCAACTATCAAAAAAATGATGTTATTCAATGTCCATTGTTTTCCGATAATCTGTCCGTACATTATTTGCATCTGTTGTGTAACTGTAATTATTATTGATTCAATTCTTGCTTTTTACAGCTAGTATTTAAATATTTGAAGATTGAAAAAAAAATATATATCATTTCTATTACTGAATTTTTTCATTGGGGCCATTTTTACCTACTTGTCTTTTGGGGCCATTTTTACCGGGGTCATTTTTTTCCGGGGCCATTTTTACCTACATTTATGAAATACGTAACACCATAGAGACCCCGGTGTTATGCGCTATATAAATCTATTTAGGCCTACATACATTACATACATACATACATACGTTAACTTTTATATTCATCTAGTTCTAGATATACGCGTACGAGATGACATTGGAATCTCGGCGCCTACCGACGGTGGTATCTTAGAACTGTTCTACAATGGGGCGTGGTACCCAGTATGCGACGATGATTTCGATGTCCATGATGCTCTCATTGCCTGCGAGCAATTAGGATATGGCGAAGTGAATACTTGGGGAATCAATCAAAATGTAGGGTCTGGTAATGAAGAGTTCATATTGGACGATATCTACTGCCAGGGCTCTGAGCGCGGTATATCCGTATGCAGACATTCAGGTTTCTTTGTACATGACTGTACGTCATCAGATGGTGTATGGGTATCATGTAGAGGTACATTTATTGTCGATGGTAAGTGTAAAACTAGCGATTGTAAATGGTGATGTCAAAGTTGTGATGGTATGTGTTTTCGAGAGTCTAATGCTTGGAATAAAGTACAATAACTATAGAGAAATTTTGAACACGTTCAGCAAACGCAATGATTGCTAATGCGAAATAAAAAATAGGAAACTTACCACAGATGATTTCCAATGTGAACCATTCGAAATGACATAATGACACGTTCGCCACTTGTTGGCTCCAGCCAACTTGCACGAGAGAAAATGCTTATAACGCACCAGCGGACAAATCAGTGGACCAATTCACCTTTTCTGAAGTTTGAAAAGGTCTATGCGAGAGACCCCAAAACTCTGACATCTGACCACTAATCCACTAATATCAGAATGGCTTATCTTATCACTAAACTTAGACAATTCTTATTATGTCACGATGGGACCTAGTGTTCAGCCCCTGTATGAGACTTGTATTTGGATCAATGCAAAAATAAAACAAGTGATTGATTTGACTCAGTAAATTCTGAATTTTAATACATTACATTTACTGTCATGAGTTTTTCATGGTTCTTTAGCATTTTTCTATGATCAATACTCACGTGATATCCACCACATTTTTCGCATCGGCCCATATAAAATGATGTAAAGAAGCGTATCAAAATCGTTCTTCGTATCATCATCGAGCGAAGTCTTACAGTAAAATGTTATTTTTTATCATACTTTAATTGAACAATAGTATTTTGTATTTGCATATATTGACAGTGAAATGTAATTAAATTCAGAATCTACTATCAATCTCTTGTTTTATATTTGCATTGATTCAAATTCTATGCTCATATAAGGACTGAATTCTAAGGTCATAATAGTTAGGCTAATAAGTGAATGGAGCGTCGTGTGTCGCTCTATCATGCTCTAACATGCGGCCAAGGCCTGTACGTGTAACTTAAATTAATAGACCTTAATCTATTGATTTTGATCCTTAACTATTTTCTATATCTCTCACTATTTCAGAATTTGAATTCATGCCAAGCTTAAGCGGAGGTTTGGGCGTGAACGAAGGAAATCTTCAGGTACGCTATAATGGTGAAGCGGTACCTGTATGTAGTGACAACATAGGTTGGACAGAAGCCGATGTCGCATGCCGAGACATGGGTTTTGAAGGTGTGGAAAGCATATGGAGCCCAACAGCAACAATTGGCTTCAGTGCGACAGCGTTCACTGTTCTCTACTGCAACGGGGATGAGTATACGTTCATGGCATGCAATAATGATTGGTTCAATTCTGCATTTTTCTATTGCGGGTCACTGATGGTGGCAAACATTAGTTGTATGATGAAAAATTTTGCAGATTGGGCTGAGGGTAAGACTAAAGCCTCATTTACACGATTACGACACGACGACACGATACAGATGAGTGCAGTGTTGAAGAATACACTACGCGATGATATGTCATTGTCTTAGCGTAATCGTGTCTAGTGCAAATGTGGCTTAATAATCAATTCAATCCTATATAACTTTATTGCAACACAAATATGAGTTTTGAAATGTACAATATGAAAAAAGAGAAGACACAAAAAAAACCCGTCAATAATAAAAACAGTCAATCTTAAAATAGCAACATTCTCACAATGATAAAAAAATCACATAAGGTGAATCTCACAAAAGGACATTAAAAGTATTATTATTATTACACCAATATTAATATTATCATTATTATTACCGTTGCAATTATTTCAATAATACACTAAAAAATTACAAGACTTCATTAAAAGAAAGAATCAAAAAGCATATTGCAAAAAAGACACAGACACATGAAAAAAGAAAAAAAAAAGGTCGATAAAGAGATAAAATCCAAAAGTAGCTGCATTCTTTCGAGGAAAAAAATCACAAGGTGAATCTCACAAAAGGACATTAAAATTATTATATTAAAATTGCCATTCATTAATATCATTATACCAATTATTATTATTTAATATTACTATCGCAATTATTTCCATTATTCACTAAACCATTACTAGACTTCATTAAAAAATTGTAAATACATTAAAAGAAAGAATTAAAAAGCATATTGCAAAAAAGACACAGAAGACACATAAAAAAAGAAAAAAAAGCTTCAGCTGAATGTTGCAGCCAGGCTTTTTTCTCTTAATTCGATGTTACTCTTTGTCATCTTTATTGACTACAAATTGAGTAACGTATACACTGTAAAATTCTTCTTTCTTTTTCGTGTTTATAAGTTCATTTCCACATTACACTTATGACCTTCTCATAATTGCACTCAACTGCATGTAGTTGCCTACTCAGGTCCAAATCATCCAGTTCAACCATTCCTTACTGTCCTTCTGGTCGGTTGAAAATCTGTAGTGATAGATTCTTCTATGCTGAACGAACCACTACATAATTTCAAAGAGTCTCTCTGGATCTTTTCAAATTCAGACTTAAATCTCATCTTGTTTCACAATTGTAATTTTCCCTTTGACCTAATTTTATGTTGATTTCTATCTTTTGTCTTGACCCTTGGTAAAAGAGTGCATAGAGATATTGCATTGTATTATGCCCCATAAAAATGGAAGACCATTACCACTACCAATATATCTCAGGACTCTAAAAGAAATATTAGGATAATCTTTTAAGTACTACTGTTATTTGTGATGGTCGATAGTAAGTTATGGTAAATTAGATAAATAAAACGTTTAACTTCGCTAAACTACACTAGGAATTGTCCTATAACCGAACTTATTGATATGTTTTGCTGAATTAGCTTTTTCACTACACTGTCCGTTGTGTTTATGCTATTCTTCGCAATATTTGACAACAAACACATTTAAACCAGCTCAATTTTCAATTTTTTCCATTTATTTCATCTATATTCATTTGAAAACACAAGTCTATTATTCAAATGCTACGTTAGTTCACTGCAGTTCATTAGGTCCATGAATCCCCTATCAAATAACCGGTACCACCCCGGTTTCTCTCTACTTCGTCTAGTTTACAAGTATACAAAACTACCCGCACGACCACGGTCAGTAGTCATATCGGAAGCTTCGTCAATGGCTTTTCCAGGCGAAATAGGACACTGGCTTTATCTTGCCACGCTCATAAATATCTATTACGCGTAAATGTGCGCTTAACTTACTTATAACACTGTACACTTGTCTGGCTCAAGGAGTCGACGCATCAACGTATGGGCATAAATAATATTAGACATAAAAATAAATGGTTACAATTTACTCTCCATTTAATGATAAAAGTATGAACAACTGCACTGACATATTCTACATTTCGGAATTATAGGGTTGTAGAGAAAAATACATCTTGCTTCAGTGTACCATTGAATATATCTAGAAGTCCATTTGCTGCAGGATAAAAAGAAGTTGTGAATTGCTTGACGGACCAGAGCCTACCTACTTGAGCAACGTCTGTTGTAAAGTGAACATTGATCTGAGAGCATTTCTTTCCTTATTCCTACTCTAGTAAATGCAATCGTCATCAACGCTTCAGACATCCACTCGACTTTTATGCTCGGTCTCCTGGTATCTTGTGGCAAAATCCATCCATCATTATCAAATGTATTGTTCCATCATTCTGTCATAGCATGAATAGGGCCAATAATATCAACAGCTATTCTTTAAAATGGTAATTTAGTGGACGGCATTTTGTCTTGTTGATTATTTTCCTACCTTCAACCTTTCAAGTGGCACTTTAATTACCCTTCCCTTCGAAACTGTCTGTTACACACGTCACACGGCATGCAATAACCAATAAATATTGATTTTATGTATTCCGGCCCAGAAAAAGTTAACTCTTTCAGTGATTTTCTTGGTACCCTGATGTCCCGCTAGTAAGGTTTCGTGAGCTACATACATTACTTTATTACGATATTGTTAAGAACAATCAGGGTGGTGAACACATTTCCATACTCAACATCAAGTGGTGAAAGTTCCTGTACAAGATATCATCTCTATAGTAGAAAAAATATACTCCGTGTTCTATATTCACATTTCTTTTAATGGTGGCGCCAGGATTTGCCAGGCGGCGGTCCAAGGTAGGTGGGGGGGGGGGAAATATGAAAATTTGGGGGTTTTAAAGGCTTATTTAATCAATTTTTTGAGTCTACTAATTGGTAAAATATACATATATTTTTTTTTCTCCCCGACGAATTGTAGTTTTTTTTTCCCCCGACGTGGGAGAGAAGCTGCGCCCAGCTGGCGCCACCACTGCTTTTCTTGCTTGCTGTAGAGCCTCATCCTGCTCTTAAGCATTCTTCAGCAACTCAGGCACACCTTCCAAAGCCTTTGGTACCTTGAAAGGGCGAAAAAGGCTTGCTTGTTATTGTTTCCTGTCTCCCTCGGGTCCATACAGTACAAATCTGATTGGTTTTGACCAGGCACCATGTGAATCACCTGCTGCTCTTGCTCAAGCAACGTTGCCTACAGATAAATTCGTATGAGAAGTTTTACATATATAAACCTACCTTAACGGTTCCCGTAAAGGAAGGGTGTTAACATTTACGAATTAAATTTAATACATAAAAATATAAAACTCACTATAGATTTATTTGTTTACAGAGGAGCCTGATTGTAGTAGGTCAGATTGTCAAAACGGCGGAATATGCGTGGACCATGAATCCTGGGATGGCGAATACCTATGTATATGTGCAAGTGGTTGGCATGGACCTTCATGCGATGAGCCAGATTCATATTCTTCCGGTAACATTTAATTTACGTTATACAAAAAGTATAGAAAGGGTAAAAGAGGTACTCTAGTCCCCAAGTTTGGCGCGTAAAGCTCGGTTTTCATACAATCGCCCATCCTATCGGTGAAAGTTGCCGACAGACGTCGGGAAGGTTCAACTGGGTCAGCTTTGTCGATGTGTTGTAGACTAATTAATCGGGGTGCCTTCCCGATTGTGTCGGGGCAACTAGCAATGCACCATTCGTCTGCAACGTCATCGGCAAAGTTGAACCAGGTTAAACCATCCCGACAACTGTCGGCGACTTTGTATGGAAACCGAGCTTAAGCGAACATAACGCCCGACTACATAGCTGTGGGAGGGCGCCCTGCCTCTGCCAGATGACTAACTTTTATTTTATTCTCCAACAATCGCTCGTACAAACGGCAGTTCAGTGCAGAGAGCGGGCGCAATTCTAATTACAATTATGCATTTGACCCACTAACATGGCGTAACTACGGGGAGGAATATTTTCAAGTCGATAGGAGTTTCTACAATTTTATACGCTTGATGATAACCATTGTCATATACAACTGTTGCTTGCAAGAAAAAATGATAATGACATTAAATTGTAATAGTTTAATTTTAATTCTATGAGTTTTAGCTAATGCCGGGCTTATATGTGCCGACAGGAGTCGGCCGACTCGATCCTACAGAAAACGGAAAGCGAAAATGCGCGCGTAACGGATGGTTTTTATTGACGATTTGCTCAGACAGCTACCGGCGTGTCCGCTGATTGTCAGCAACAGCCAGTGGCAATCGGAGGCTATACAGTATTAAAGCGCTTTCGTTATCGAGTTCATTTGAATTTTGAACACCAGCCATGATCTAACCAATCACAAATTGCCTAGATATTCACATGCACAGAAAATAAAATACGTTTGTTTTAAGCACTCCATGAATTAGTCCCCTGCTCGTAGGAGGGCGGAAGTTTTATCAGTTTTAATGCATTCTGCAGGAAGAGCTCACTCTTCTCCAATAAATTCTGCATATTCACACATTACAGTACATCATACCTTATCGTCACTTCGTAACCACCTGTTTCATTATCACATAATAAAAAAAATGTTTACTTTCTGATAGAGTATGTGGAAGTTTATGTGCATGCTAGGCTTGTAGATGGATATTCCCTTGACAGCGGTAGAGTAGAAGTGTATTACAATGGTCAGTGGGGAACAGTCTGTGATGATGGTTGGACTATGACAAACGCTGAAATAGTCTGTAGGCAACTAGGATACATTGGCGCCGAGCACTTCTACACCAGTCCCGGACACAACGAGTCCATCATTTTTATGGATGGTGTGGAGTGTAGTGGCTACGAAAGTAATTTGGCAGATTGCTACCACGCTGGATTTAACAACCACGACTGCAGTCACCACGAAGACGTCGGCGTTGAGTGTTACTACAATGATTACACCGGTAAACAACGTGTGTCATTATTTTTGTTTTTGGTTTTTTTTCCGATTAATACTTTTTGTGCACAACAATACTCTTTCATTGATGGGACTTTTAAGTGAAACCCATGCATCATTCGCGTGATGCGACACAGTTTTGCCACGATTGCAATGGTCCCGATGACCTGACCACCAACCTGGTATCAGTAGATGTATCCTATTAATTATACAAGTTGTTGTTCAAGTTATTTTACAGAATGTTAACATAGAATTCATGTCAGCTATCTCTCATCTATGCCCTCTGTTTTCATTCTTTCTTTAGTTTTAAAAAATGGAGCTACTCACATTATCATCGTGGCAGTAGTTTGCACAACACTGCTTCCAACAGGTTTGATAATATATTGTAAATACAGACACGGTCGATCATTGACGCGGGGACGGGTAGCTGTCGCTCCCCAGCAACAAGGGCATATGGTACTACCCATTCAACAACCAACGGTATATTCATTTGATACTGATATTCCTGAACCAGCAATTTACCATCTACCAATGGAAACCGGTGATGCGTCAACGAGTAATTCACCGAATATTGCGATACCAATACGTCTACAATAATAAATGTTATGTTATAGAGATATTAATCAGATTACCATAATAGGCCTAACTTAAGTATAACCATGTCTAAATACATTGAATATTTTCAATAGCATTAGATTTATATGAATAGAAGAATAAAAGAAGAATAATTGTTGTCGTTAGTAACAAGGTATCAAAGCATGTTTATTGCAATATTTATATCTATACCGTCGCCTTGAAATGTGCTGTTAATCATACTAGGTCCGCATTGAGTGTACCTGTCTCTTATACACATCTGTGTAGAGTAGCCGTAACTTTTAATGGTAAAAAACACAAACGTTTTCGGGCATCGCCCTTCATCAGGTGGTACAGATAAAAAATAATAGCGAGTAAAAATACACTCAATGCGGACCTAGTATGATAGAGCAACTAGTAGCTAGGGAGCTACAAGGAACAATAAAGGGCGTGAACTGAATCAGATCTAAAACAAAAGCCATCAAAATGAGTCATACAGATAGGAAGCCTATTCTGTATACGGATGGAATATAACAAAATACATGAAATAAAATATAATATATATATACTTTCTGTTATTATATTATATATATTGCTTCTAATATGTCTACAACTCATAGCTGTTTTATATTGCTGTCTTTCTATATTTTATATATATATATATATATATATATATATATATATATGTATGTATGTATGTATGTATGTATCGGACGGCTTCTATTAGCAAGATTGAAACTGCAGGCATACCATACTTTCTGTTGTATGTTATGATCCTACCGATAGCGAGGCCCGACCAGATGGTATTGCAAAGAAAATTATTTCTATCAACACTGGGCTTTAAGACTTGGTAACAAGCATCCCTAAACAAGATACTGTTCTTGGAGATATGAATCCTCAGTTTTCAGAGGCGGCGCAGTGACCATAATCTTGCTGTCACCACCTTCCATCTATCACTTGCTGCCTTTGAACAGAAAATAAAGCAGTATATATTATGACAATGCTAAACTATCTAAAAGTGACATCTTGTCCATTTAAATTAATTGATGGGAAATTGCATATTCCAGTAGAACTTAAATGATGATGCTGACATTGATGAAGAGTTTAGCAGCTTCACTAGCACAGTAAACCAAACAGCAGCTAATCACCTAAAGCTACGGAAAAAAGTGAAGCCGGATACAAATTTGACAAGCACAAGCAAGAAACCTATTTGCTGAAAGAAAAATCCTCTAAAGCATCACTTGACAGTGACTATAGAGAACTCAACACACACATGAGCAAGTTTCAGAAATGACAAAAGGTTGTGGTATAGCAAACTTGCCAGAGAATTCAAGAGAAACAACATTGGATTGCTGTTTGGCGGAAGTCTTTCAGAAAAGGTATATTCTTATTGGAAGAAACTAGGAAAAGAGCAAGCCAGGTACGGGACAGTCTCCAACAATGAGATTATCAAGGATAAGAGTGCTCGACTTGAGAGCTGGGCCGAATACTTTGGAGGTCTGATCAATGTTGAGGGTCCATTTTACACACGGGACCAACGGCTTAAACGTCTCATCCGAAGACTGTGTGTTTTTGATACTTGCATCTCAGCCCTCCAGCTGAAACACAAGGAGCAGCGATGGGAATTGAAACAGGGAGTGCGTGAACTTCTCATTAGTTACGCCAAATAACGGCGTTAGTTAAACCTGGTGTTTGTTTTAGATCTAAGCCTAGCTAAAGATAGGCAAAGGAATTTTCACATTTTCTTTTCCAACTATAAAAGATTCACTATTATTTCTAGAAATGTTTGTCACACACAATGAAGAAGGTCTAGATCATAATAACAATACTCTCTGACGTCACACCACATGCGCATTCATCCATGAACCCTAAATCATATGAAGTAGCTCTATTATTATTTGAATGTACATAATACGATTGCTTTGGACTATTTTCGATCAAACAGCATAACCCACAGTAATTGTGTATGGATAAACCATTTGAGTTTACACTACGTCTCTCCGTGTGGTTGGATTAGTTATCGTAACTTAGGGGTTATTTCAATATCTGTAAGTTTACTTTTGTCGGATGAGTACCGAATGGGAAAGTGAAAGCATCTCAAAATAATGATCTAATTTCGAAACAATTTTATGGAATCAGTTCACAATTCGTCGCACGATTCGCAACGCGATGTACGTGAGCATTCGTAAGAAAATGGGTTCTACACTTTCATTTTTCGTCTTAATGACAGTACCACTCTTCTGTAATGGCCAGCAACTGAATTTTTCTACCATAGGTAAGTACCACTGAAGTAGTTTGTCCATATTTGACGGGTTATGCACTGGAGTAGGCCTATTGTGTAGCCTTGATGTTTTGTGTAATTCAGATTCAATCTTTGTTGTTCTGTTCATCCAACCGTTGACCGGTTCTCTAATCCACAGTGAAATTACCTTCTAGTATGCCTATAAAGCAGTGCAAAGACTAGACGTATTGACAACAATACTTTTTTTTTTGTTTAAGTGTTGCCTTGCTCTGGGCCTACAGAAAATTATATACCGTAACACATAGAAAATAATGAATTAATATAATTGTTAAGTAGTGTGTATTGAAATGTATGTTTTACCGGAGTGCTGGTTAAAATCTTTATAAGTTAGTCCGTTGTGTCTGACATCGTTGTGTCAAAAGTATTCGACCGAAGGTGTTGAAAACCATTTGCTTTAGTTTCTTACATTTTCTCTTACTAAGTATAAGTTTCCTTCAACTATATGAAGATTTTGCAAATGTAGGCACAAGTCACCACCTGGCCATTAATGAGCCTGAGGTTTTTACATTATTTATTTACTTAATTACTTTTTATATTCCAGTGTTTTGGAGTGGAGGGGTTTATTTAATCATCAGTAACGCAGGCCAATAACATGTGGGCCTAAAAGTGTTAAGGCCTATCAGTCATTTTATACAAAATTAAAAAAAAACCACAGGAATGAATAGGTCTATTTGTTTTTCTCTGTAACTCTCTTGATTCAGTGGCGTCGACAGCGGAGGCTAGGGGGAAAATTGCTTTTCTTCTGACAACAGGTACGCGCGCATCCGTCATCTGACACTAAGATTTTGGTATGCGTACGTCAGGGCGGATCCAGTATAGTCGGGGAACACAAGGTAAAATGCGCTGTTTTAACGTCTACTGACCCCTCATTCCCTCTTGATCCACCATAGGCCTATGCAGACGATTTTACCCACTTTTTTTTTACCCAACCCAGCATAATATTGCTTTCTATGGAGCTTTTCCATACTGAAAAGAAACTTAACTATTCATAAAAATAAACTTGACAATAAAATGCTTGAGTGCTGGCGGCATAATAACAATGAGTTATTTGAGAAACATATGACAATATAATGGTAAATATGCACAGTTAAATCTAGTTTGAATGACATATTGACGTACCTATGAAATAAATGAATCAAAACCAATCCAGACAATTCAACGGTGCAAAAAACATTGAGGCTTCTAGTTCAGTTAAAGTTTAGGAAGCTTTAAGGAAGGCTTTGATAACCCTAAAGAAACACATAGATATATTTGGTTCCCACACGAACGAATTAACTACAGTAGATTCAGATTCTGATTCAGAATTCATCCGTTGTCTACTGCATCTTTTCAGAGTAAAAATTTCGCAAACATTAATACTTAATAAATACACTAATGCATATTATTGATAATAGGCCTACCAGGGAACAGTGAAATTATTAACTGTTCCCTGATAATACAAATATTAAAATATTAATAATAATAATAATTGTCTTTATAGAAGTTATGATGATGTTGGTGATGATAATAATAATAATGATAAATGACGACGACAATGATATGATGATTGTGATTACAAGGTTGTTGATGGTGATGATGATGATGATGATGATTGTTTTTGTGCTTGTTAAATAACAGAAAATAAGGCATGGACATCGTAATTGTATGTTTCTTTTCGTGATACTTGAAAGGTCAGACTAATTGTGTTTGTTTCTACCATGTAAATCTATTTACAAACAATACAGTCATGACAATTAATAAAACCTGTGTTCAGCATCGTGGTGACGGACAATAGATATCCGGAATTACTGTAATGCTTAGATCATTACACAGCTTAAACTTTAATAATGGGTTGATTTTTCTTTATAAAACGTACTTTTCACTGTGTAACTATAAAGCTTATAATACGCTGGCATGTGGCATAAAACTTCTGAATATATTTTATTTAATTAGTTTGCAGGTTATGCCACAATATTTTAGTTATTATGGTTATGTTAGTCGAAATTAACCCAATACGAAATTATAGATGGTAAATTAATGTCAACCGATATAAGTTACTTAATATACAATTTTTATTGTTAACTCTATAAGCTGTTGAAATTCCATGTTAAGCACTGTTATCGGTTGACATTAATTTACCATCTTGAATTCTTCCACGTGCCTAAACATAATAATTGTCCGTGGTCCAAACAAGTACAGTGGGCCCAAAGGTTTTTCCACACTATCAAATTTGACAATTTTGTGTGACGTGCCCAAATATGAGTATATCACATTTATTTGTCAGTTAAAAAAATGAGTGTGTACAGAGCAGAGCAAACAAAATATATAATCAGAGGCATGTGTATTATGCAATTAAATCGAACAAGTAGTCGTAGTGTATTAGTTTGCATAGGACCTGTTAGAAAATGAAAAATGAAAAACAAATATTATATATTAATATTCTAAAAGAATTCGCCACTATCATGGCTTCTCCAGAAAATAATATTGTGATAATAAGTGTGTTCCTTTCTTGTTAAATTTAGGAATGTTTAAAGGGCTAATTTAGATAGGTACCGTAACATAACACATACGTAGGCCTTTATTTAATATTAAATTAGCATGTCAAAGCGGGATTACCGTCACAACGCATAATGGTTTATAACTTTGTCGGTAACCGAATACAAAACATTTAGCACTCCCTCGAATCGCTTCTCTTGGTATACGGGTCATTGAGTTTGTATAGACCTGAACGAGCAAGGTAAATGGTTACAGTAGTAATAGACTTGTACATATAATTTGAGTCAGGCACATGCACTGTAAAATTTTAATAAGCTGTTACTTTCAACGACCATCGTATAGTACTGTAAACCGAACAGCTAATTCGTTGGTAGGTCTAACCTATAGATTGCGTACAATAACACATAATGTGTTATATATCATATAAACTTAAATATTGTCTATCGTGGTCACAGTCTCTGGGCACCCAGTCGTCTGTGGTAGGGCAAATGTGAAACCTGCTCCTTTGTTCGCTCCTGCTAGGTGGGGACCGGGATTGCGCCAGGGCAGAGGAGGATGGTTGACCATTTGAGACATTGCGCTATTTTGCCGTTACACCTTTATTATATTATTTTAAAAGTCAACGATTTTTGTTTTATAATTTTATGTAAATCGCATATAGAGGCACTGCACAATATGCGCTATATGAATGTAAATTATTATTATTAATATTATTATTATTATTATTATTATTATTATTATTATTATTATTATTATGGCCTATCTAAAACAAAGTACAGTATTATAGAACTTTTATATTTATGATAGAGCACTTCATAGATCGTAATACTAATATTATATTAGCATTTAATGCTTTGCAAGAATAGAGGATAAATATATGACATTGCTTCATTGAAGCAATACTTAACACATCGAAAACAGAGTATTATATGACAATTTTGTATTTTTGATAGAGCATTTTACAGATAGTAGTAATAATAATAATAGTGATGATGATGATGATAATAATAATAATAATAATAATAATAATAATAATAATTATTATTATTATTATTATTATTATTATTATTATTATTATTATTATTATTATTATTATTATTATTATTTCTAAATACATCACACTAATTAGATTTGGTTGCTGCAAATCGCTGGTTAAACGTCATTTGACTATATAAAGCCAGGTTTCCTGTCGACGTAAGAAGGCAGATTTACTACGTCGTTTTATCGTAACAAAATACGATTTGACAGGAAACCGATTGCGACTGGTGTGTTAATCGACGTAACGTAAGGTTAAATCGTCGCAAAGATTTTCATGCGATACGTCAATTTTCCACGATTTGACAGGAAACCGCGATTTAGTGACTTATGCTTGAGTGATCACGCTTGCGTTGCCTTGTCTTACGTCTCTTACGAAAGTTAACTCCAAGTCAACTTTCGTAAGAGACGTAGCATTATGGACCAGAAATCGTAAGAAGCAGCCAATCAGATACGGGAATTATGACGTAGCCTTTATGTCGTAACATGTTTTGACGTGGCAGATTGTTTTACAGTAGAAAAAATATAGGCCCTATGAAAATTCTGTGTTCCTTGCTTCTTTGAGTAGTCTACCAATACGCCACACATCCACGCAGTAGCCTATACAATTGTGTTTGTTATTATTATTATCATTAATATACTGAAATTGAATTCGAAAATAAACAAGGATTTGTTTCAATTAAAATCGTATAATACCAAGCGAATTGTTTAGAAATAAATCTGTTGTCAACCATTCCTATTTCCAGTTCAGTGGTTGTTTGATTTTTTTTTAAATAGTTAGGCCTATAGTTTTAATCGGGAGAAATAATATATTTTAAATTGTGCAAGTAATAATTAGGAAACAGGTGTTATTCCATGCTTCAATAAACGTATATAATAACATAATACACTCATAGGTCTACACCTTTTTTTTTTATAAGAACCCCAGAGCAATTTTGCCGAGGCTAAGTGTTCTTATTTTTCGGCTAATTCATTGTCACACCTACTGTGCCTATGTAAAAATAAGACTAAAATATTTTTTCTAGATTAAAAAAAAGAACATAATTATCGCATTTGGAATTTTACCTCAATTTGTTCTTATTTTTGAAAGCAATTTCACCGTTTGAATATGGTAATGACGACAATGATGGTATAATAATATAATACTGCAACAAATTAGTTGGTCGTTGCGAAATTTCAATGAGAAGAGTAGTAAAAATGAAAATAACAAATTTTATCACAAACCAAGGGGGCCATTTATACAGCAGGAGTGAGGACCGTTGTATATCTATTTTGTCAATTAGGGCTAAAGTTTACCACCAATCCAACTTTCCCGCGTACCGATTTTTTTTTGTCCTAATATTTCTTCTCTCAAAATAGATTGGGTGACAAGCGCCTCGAGGCCGTGGCCAATTAATTCAGTTTCCCAGAATAAAAAAGTATGAAACACGAATGTTCAGGGAATGTTCGAAGCATCATTATTT